GTCTGAGTCTCCGCGCGATTGTGCACCCTCCTCCCGGAGGATCGGCGTCACGGCGGCAAGGCGACGGCGGCACAGGCGGCAGGCCTCCGGGCCGACCATTCGCACCGGTTGCCAGATTTCAGCAGCAGCTTCCCTAGAAGGTTTTCCTGGTCTAGATAACCGCACACGGATATATGGCAATTAAAACCCATTCAAGCTGACATGTTTACAAAAACTCCGTGCTCGAATGTCGTGAAGCGCGTTTCATTTCAGGGTTATTGAAGTTATCGATAATTAGAGAGACCACATAGTTCTCAAAAAGAACTTTGCTACGTGTCAAAAACAAGTAACCTGTTTTTTACTATTTTGATCACTTACAACTAATTTGAATTTCTCTTTATTAATGGTCGAGTGCCGCTTCCTAGGACAAACCCTTCTTAATGATTTTCTTTTAGCAAATTTCATAGTTTATCGATTGTATAATTTCAAACGTATTATATCTTTCTTTCTCAACGACTCATTATTGTACTGAAATCTTTTGCACACTAATGTTATAATATTTTATTAACGACAATCTCAGAAATTTCCTCATAAAATATCGTTGGTCCCTCGTAGAGTTGGTTATGTAGGGTTCACGCATTGGCAATCAGCAAAACACCCTGTGGTTTTTCTACGTTATTTGTTTTCCTATCGAACATACCTTCTTCAAGGCCACCCATTTAACTTTCCTTCATCAAGTTAGGTGTTTCGGTCAGTCACTTTCCTACTGATATTGTGGTATGGGCATCGTTTATTTAACTTCCAGAATCTGGGATACTAGATCCCAAAAACCAGTTCATGGAGCAGTACCTCTTTATTTGGTACCTTACATTTAGTTGTTTGGGTTTAGGTGCTATCCCGTCCATTTTCTTATGCTATTTCAATCTTCAACGTTTACGCTCCTCCAGTGTTGTGTTGTAGCTGCCTTGTAGCTATTTTGCAGCTGATATTGAGCAAAAAACATGTTCACATCAGCAAAAAGCACTCTAACACTAATAGAGACAAATTCAAATTACTGGTGAGTGATCAAAATAGTAAAAAAAGGTTACGTGATTTTGGCACGTGACATCTCCGAGATCAAAATGAAGATCGAACGAAACACAAAAGGCACAACCTGCAAGGGAAAATTACCTGGTAAAAAACTGGGCAGAGAGTAGGTGCAGGTATATATGGGAAAAGGTGTAATCCTGCACATAGTTTGCCCCTTGAAAGACACACCTCTGCATTAAGAATCCCTAGAGTGACATCTGCACTCATTTGGGAATGCCAGCAAGAACTGAACACACTGGTGGAACCCAACAAAGTAACTTTGATGTGGGTGCCAGTACATTTTGGTACTGAAACGGCAGGTAAGCTCGCAAGGAAAGGATCTTCCACACCCTCTTCAGGTCCAGAACCTGCCTTTGGGTACCAAAAAGCGCAATAAGGAATGAATTCAATGAATGGGTATAAACGAGCGGAACGAATATTGGCACTCAGTGACTGGATGCAGGCATTGAAAAGAACTTAGCTCGGGACCATGTCCAAATGCGACTGCGGAATTGTTCTCAATGAGTATAATCCAACTTCGTGTAGTTACAGTCCTTCTAACAGCACATAATGGCTTGAAGGAGCACCTGGGCAAAGTAGGGCTGCATACATTTCTTATGTGAGTGCAAGGTGCTGGATCACAAAAGACATCAACTCTTCGAGAAACCAAAACTAGAACCGATGGAGCTCAGAACAGTAACGGTAGAGAAATGGTATCAGCTTGTACAAAACACTGGCTGGATTGAGTACCGTAGATTCGAGGAGCAACGTTTAATAAGCCCAAAAGGCTGCGGTAGACTTTGATCAAACAGCTCTCGATAACATTTTAACCTTATTTTGGAATCTTTGAATAAATCCTATGCTGGAACTCTTGAAACAATCATAGAACCTCACTGGTTTTAAGATCCGATTATTAGTCATGACTTATTATGGATCATACAGGGTTTGTCCGGAAAGTAATAGGACTGAGTCGAAAAAAATTTATTGAGCAAATCGTTACAATTCTTTAAAAACTTTCAAAATAGGCTCCTTCTGTGTCGATGCAGCGCTGCCTGCGCGATTTCCAAGCATTGAAGGTGTCACGGAAGGCATTATCCGGAATAGCCTTGAGAGCCGCGGTGCATGCTGCTTGGATCCCGTCTGTCGTCTCAAAATGCTTGCCTTTCATCGACCTTTCGAGGAAACAAAAAAAAGTCCGGGGGGACCCACATCTGGGCTGTAGGGCGGCTGCGGAAGCGTTGGGATGCCGGCCTTGGTCAGGTCGCTGTTCACAAGACAGGCGGTGTGAGCCGGGGCGTTGTCGTGGTGCAACTTCCAGTCGGCTGCGATGATCTTGTCGGACCTTGTCTTGGCGTTGACGGTTTGTCCAGGAGGAACAAATTCATGGTGGACGATGCCTTTGATGTCAAAAAAGACAATGAGTAACGTTTTCACTTTGGATATGCTCATTCTTCCCTTTTTTGGGCGAGGAGACGCCGTCGTGTGCTACTCATCACCTGTGATTACGTTATTCAAAAATTGGAGGTCACTTTCACACATGTTCAAATTTTCTTGACACACTTCCACTCGCCGCAATTTCTGGTCGTCAGTTTTTTATATACTCCAACTGCCACGAAGGCCTAAGGCCTAAGCACCCATTGGGTACCGTGGGGCTATACGGGGATACATGGGAAAGGGGAGCACTTTTGGGACCATCTTCGCGCACACCTTGCGCATGTTCAAATGCTGTGTCACAATGTCATGAACCACAGATTTTGGTAAATTTAACATCTAAGCAATTAAACGAATACTTAGTCGACGGTCTGAGTTCAAAACTTTGAGCACACGAGTCACATTATCGGTGGTTGTCGAAGTCGAAGGTCTTCCAGCACGGTCTTCAATAGCGATCTCTTCCGGGCCCTCCAAAAAGGCCTGGTGCCACCGAAACCTATCACTTTTTGCTAAAGCAACACCTGGGAAAGCCTGCTTGATCATGTCAAACGTCCTGGCGCTGATTTACCGAGTTTCACACTGAATTTAATGGCGTACCACTGCTCTAACGAACACTGCATTTTCGGCTTGTACCACTCACAGAAAAACGTCGCGCGGAAATGCCTGTCCTGACTCTCCAACTGCTCGGAGACAACTGACCAGCCGCTCATTCGTTAGCTAGGAACGCCCTCTACCGAATCTAGTCGGTGCGCGCATTCTCCGAAGTACAGTCATGGCGTAAGAAAATGAGTCCTTTTACTTTCGGGACAAACCCTGTATAGCTTTGAGGATCTTCCCAATAACCAATGACGTTGATCCGAGAGCGGGAGATAAAGCTCCTTTCTAGGGAGGGACAAATTTGATGAAGTCTTGATTGTGGAGAACTTATCACAGGATGAAGTCAGAAAAATTCTAGGAGTCAAGGTCGCACACACGATGGATGATCCAACCAACAACAAAGAAAAACAGATTCTGTCCAAAAACACTGAAAGTGATCAATTTGAAGCTTTCGTTGAGGATGATGAGGGACCAGGTATTGTTGTGGTGCAAAACAGATGCTTGCAATTGGCTAAAGGTATATTTGAACCTGAAAAACATTTAAAGAATTTGTGCGAAAGACAATAAAATACGTGTAGCATTTATTTATTATACAGGGTGACTTTGAAGTTGAGTCATTAATTTTCAGATAATGATTGTAGAAGGAAGATAAACCAAAATATGTGTGTAAAAATAAAAATAAAAATTATTAAAAAATTTTTACCTTGTTTTATAAAGTATCCTCCCGACAAGTATTTCAGTGCGGACCTGTATTTGATCGTGAGGTCTTGGAGCACCGGCATGCCCTCCCCTGTGAGGTCTTAAGTCACCTGATTCACGAGCCCGTTGTACTACATTAACAAAGGCACGAGGGGTTGGTTGCACTCGATTGGGAAACCGATCCGCATAAACATGTGCCATTTTTTATTTCGTTTGAGCCACGCAACAGATACCACTATTCACTGACACTGACTGTATACAAATGAATGAAATAATTGTAAAAAGCATCGTTCCAAATTCTTTCGCTTTTTTGTTTCCGATGCGATGAACCGATACGGCGGATTATATCCGTTGTCGCCAAACACGACCACATAATATTATTATTGAGACAGGGCGGTACTCAAACTTCCAAAGGGCTATAACTGTGTTACTTTAATTTTACCAGGAAAATGGTAAAGGAAAAAACATTTCTTTTGATCAGATCTACTCACTGTTAAAATAAATGACTCAACTTCGAAGTCACCCTGTATACTCATTAATAAAATAATACGAGTGTAGTGATATAAAATATATGCTTCCTATCACAGGGTTGCCTATATGTAAGGGAATAATTCGTCAAGTAGATAGTTTCTCTACAGACGAAATTCTGGAACGGTGCAAGGCACCAGCAAAAGTACTTGAAGCAAGAAGAATGAACAGAAAAGCAATTGCTGATGTCGACACAAAACATGTGCCTGCGGATGTGATCTTTCTGCTTTTGCAGGAACTGAGCTTCTTAATAAAGTCAAATATACTTCCTACTATTTGCCGTGAATATTCCAGCAGTCACACAGCGTTTCTTTCGCCACGTGTATGGACATACCAACACTCAAGGTAAAGGCAAATAAGGTGCGTCGACGGTGGGAAGGTAGCGCGGTATGAAACCAAATGTTATCAGTTTAAAGACAAACATAAATCAAATTCAGAAAACGTCCAAAGTACAAAAGACCAAAAAACTAAAACAACTCATGACATAGCAAATCATTTCTTTGACGCTAACTTGTGCCCAAAGACTTGTATGACGAACAACAGACAGAACAATGACGACATTTACACGGAACTGACCGCAACAAAAAAAATTCACTCTAAGGTAAGTCTAAACATTGATAACGCCAATAAGATACCAGACAAGCTCTACCAGGTAACCATGGATCCAAATGTCAAGTAGCACAGTCTAACAATTTTACTTTTACACAGCCAAAAGTCATTTCATTAAGCAGAAAAGGTTCTGCAACTGGGGTAGACAACGTATTATACTCTATGCATAAAAATCTTCCCTTTCTGACCCTGAAAAGCTTACTGGGAATTTACTATGGAATTGTTTTCATCGGCTGGGTCCTTACAGATTGGAAAATATATAGAGTCCTCCCTATTCACAAATGTAATAAAGACCCGGCAAATCCTGGTAACTACCGAGCATTAGTCTTCAGTTCATACTTTGTGAAAACTCTAGAAATGCTAATAAAGACAAAAATCGATTTGTTTCTTTAAAGTAGTAGTATAAGATTTAATTAATGTCTAACAGGCTTCAGGAATAATCACTTTATGATAATATGGTCCCTTCAATTACACCCCTCCCGTTCGCTGACCTCCGAACGTGTACTTTCGAGGTTTAATGTTTTCCTTTCGATTTTGGCAATACATTAAATCGTTATTTGTTAATTTCTCATTTACCTTTTTTCACAAAATTCAACTTATTAGTTTCTACAACGCAACCGCCATGTCGTTTTGTTTAACTCTTACAAACTAGTACAATGGAAATTACATAATTTTATATTCATCAATCTCTAAGTGCTTATATTGATCAATATATCATTTTGTGAAGTGTGCATTTTTAATGCTGTACGTTAATTAGCGGTTTTTCTACACTTTTTTCATTAATATTGTAATGGTTTTAATTGACATCCAATATTCTTTCTAAACTGACCTCGTGAAGAAAATAAACATTTTCGAAGGCTTGACTTAAGGAATCACGTTCTTTCTGGCCTGACTTCATTTTTCGTTTAGTTTCATCCCCGAGAATTTCTACTTTGCATCTTAGACTACCCTCCTCCTACCCCCTTTAATTACAACTATACAGAAAGCGTTCACGCAAAACGAAACGGTGCTAGCGGTACTTTTAGACATATGAAATATGCGTCAATATGTGCTAGGATGCAGTTAGGCTCAATTGCTGGTCTTCTTTTGTAGATGACCATGAAATGGCATTGAAGTGACCTTCAAAAGCCCTTAATGACGCAAACAAGACCCTAGAATTGAAATCAGTAACTCAAAAAAAGCTCTGCTGTGTTAAATGTCGTTTCAATCTCGTGAAATTGTATTTCATGTTAGATATTTGACCTTAACGTAACAATTATGCTTCTTGACTTGGGAGAATTGAAATTACAAAACACGTAGCCTAGCACGAGCGCGTATCATCAGTTGAGATAAAGCTGAAATTTCTGTCTAAAGTTAAAGTACTGTTACCCTCCCAGACTATACAGTCCTAAAAGCTGGGACTTTGCTTTTCAGAAATAACTACGTTTGTAAGAACAAACCTAATGTGCGGTGAAACAACAAGAAGGTAAGGAAATAAATGGAAAAGTACCGTTCATCAAAAAGAAATTTCAAGAACAGGTTTGTCACTTGTAAGTATAGCTTAAAGTTTTCCGAGATTGATTCGAATATACATGTATCTGCTCGACGTAGCCAAGCTACATGAGGAGGAGTTTCCCCGTTCTACTAAGTTCAAAAATCGGATTAACAAGGTTTCTATAATCCCCTCATAGCAGGCGCGGTGCCCTATCACTTAAGCTTCAGCTTGCGTGGCAGCTTCAGTATTAAAAAACCTGCATGCACTCTCGAAGCCTCGATAGCATCTCAACAGACCCTCACCGTAAATTCAAATAATTCGGACAACTGTGATATTGCCGTATGAGTGTGCCGGCGCCTGGATTGCATACTTGTTCACTTTTAATCTGATTTACGTGCAGCACCGGTTTAGGTTTTGTTTAAGTTTGAACAGAACATCTAGGTAATCTCGGTAATCTTTGGTGTATAGAAAAAACTGCTCACTATCTCTAAGGTACAGCTGATCGTCCTCACACTGTTTCTATCGTCGCAATATTGGCAAACTCATATCTACTGATCATTCTAGCTCCAATCAGCTCTATACCTCGGGAACTAACCAGCGCAACCACTTCTTTGTAGCTACGATATCAGATACGGAACAGCTCCTCAGAACCTAGTCCTCTTTAGCCTCTAACGTTCCTATTGATTGAATACTTGATGAAAGGGAAGAAGGAAGGAATAATGCAAAGAGGATAAGCGAATCGACTGGAGGGGTTCCTTGACGTTGTGAAGTATGTTTCGGGAGCGATTTGTCTTTCAAAACAAATTATTATTTCTCACTTAGGTTCGTCGCACCGTTGAAATGCATCGACCACTTTTGGAATGGTTCTGTGAAAGTCCACACTGTAGACCTCTTGGCTACGGGAATTAATATTTCAAACGACAAAATGATGCACCAATCATATCCATGTACGTTATTGAAGTATTTATAAACGACTTAGGAAATATCAGCTAAATAGTATGTTTCTTACCTATTAAGCAATTTTCCACTAATAAAAGACAGACGCCTCGACAGATGTCAAAACTGAGGTTGCACAGAATCTGTAAACAAGACATATACGAATCGCCTTTCAACATGAAGTGTATGCACTAACCACGAAAGTGGTATACCTGCTGTTGCAGGCTGTCGACTGAGTAGTATAAAAATAGGAAAATGATGTTTAACTTTAGAAACACATATATACTGGAAACAATGATAAATAAAGAATTCCTTTCCTCTTGTCAACTTTGTTAGACACAACTGTTACTCACAGTCGACTGAGAGCATTTTTATCATTTTTCGGCTGCGTTTCTACGTTGGAGTCTACTGGTCAGACAATCAGTTTTGTTGTTCCCCAGTCATTTTTCTTAGCGTATGGATGACCGAAATTGCATTTCTAACTCAGTTACACAAACACCTTGTTTAAGGTAGGAAGTGACCGTGGGATGATTTTAATAGTAAAACTCTGTAGCAGAGAGAGGTGTAGCTTCTTTGATCTGGCGCTCTATTTTCTCTCGATAATATTTAGGACTACAGATCGTAAGTGAAAGATCGATTGAGGTTTCGGTTGCCACGACAGCCATTTAACAGACTACAATCAGAAAACAATAAAGCTGGAATGAATCTGTCTACGTTCCCTCTTTACGAACATGAAAAACTGTATGCAACGTAGTTTCATACTTATTAGCAATCATCGGTAGGGTATATGCCCCAGAATGTTATGCGCAAGAAGGTGACAACTTCAATCTATACATATTCCGCCATATACAGCCCCTAAGTTGAAAATTTAGAAAGGTCTTAACCTTCTGGCTTGGGAAATATCAAACTGTAATGGACACCACCGTACGCAGGGGCTATTTGCGGTATAGCTCAGTGAACGCTACTGAGAAGAAAATCCTTTTTTGTGTCAATCCGGGAATCCCCTTGTGTGTGCTAGCCCCATTGCTAAGTCTAGGATCTTTGAGACCAGAGGTATATGGCTTGTGATGAGCCTCGCTGGTAATAGAGAGCGTGGAGTGGCGGCTGGTTGTGGTGGTCGTGGTGCGAACATGATTTTGGGAGCATGAACCGCGTTCCAGTACCTCATTGAGCTGCCTGGCGTCGTATACGTAATGTAAAATCCATCTCTGGCTACTCCTTGTCGACATCTGCAAATAGGAATTAGTACTTTCGCTCTTATGTCACTATAATTATGTAAACTAGCAAATTTTCAGCTGGCAATGCTGCATGCCTATTGCCGACGAGTCCGTAGTTAAAAAATACTGATTACTTATCTTATTGGAGAACGATTTAAGAGTGAATGGAATAGGCCTGTTGTGAAATTAATAATAAACCATTAGAAAAACCCACTGAAAATATGGAACTCCTTCTTGAGAGTACGCCACGAATAGTGATTTTGCCGAATATTGAATATCCGGTCACGATCTTGGTCAAATCGGCAAATATTCTGCCTTGGAATACTCTGCGCCCATTTCCATTAGTAGCTACCAGTTCGCGGGCGACAGGTTACTACCTGCCTCATTAAAGTGCGCATGATGGAATAGCAAAATATTTTCTTACAAGCTCCAAAGATGGGCTTTATTGAGTCATCCCGGGACTTCAACTATCACCAGCGGGGGCCCAGTCCATACACACTTTATGACCAACGCCTCAGAGACCCTATACTCAGCGATGGGGCTAGCACACACCAGGGGATTGTCTCGACCGTGACTTGCTGCGCCCCCCATCTGATATCGTATATTTATCCCCTATCGACACGTCGAGAGATATTTCAGCGTTTTCCAGGTCATGAGGTAAGCTTCCATGGAAGTAGTCTAGATGGCAACAGGTGCCTCCAGACGGATCTCTGTTATGGAATCGGCCTAATCCTTTCTAGGCAGCTCCCCAAGGGCTCGCACATGGTCGCATAACTGGCTGTCTAAGCGTCAACTCTGCAAGGCGACTCCTTGCCGATCAAGGTCACAACTATGCAAGAGCATTGCAATACCACTCGCCGTTGCAGTAAAGCGCCTAGTCCCCAAAAAGGGGCAGAAATGTCAGCTACTAAGTCACTAGCATAAACATAATTTTTATTGGTTCTGTAGGATGATTTAGCATCAAGGAGGTATGAATAGATAAGTAAATAAAACAAAATTATCGTAAAGAATATGCTAGCAGTTGAAAATGTATATGGGACTGATACATAGATCACAGCCGAAATAATATTGCCAAGTTAAGCATGTTGATGGCCTAGCTGGATACCTGGGAATTATTCGTCCAAAAACTGTGTTTTAATAGAGCTTGGAGTTTATGCCTAAATAATAGCATTGCCAAGGCTTTAAAAGTGTTTAGCAATTCATTGAACGTCCTGATACCGGTTTGATTTGGGCTGACTTGTGTTCTTGATAACCTATGTGATGGAATCTGCAGGACAAGCGAATTCCTAGTCAAGTACTTATTTTGGAAAGTCAGTCAAGATAGATGGTAAAGTCATTATTCATAGCCGCTTGAACGAATCTCTGCTCAGATCTAAAGCTGAATGCACAACGCTTTTTTTGCATAGTGAACACTCGAATGGCTTCTACGGAACCATCCCAGGCAAAGTAGTGGGTCAATAGCAAAAATATATAAACTAGAAAA